TACCAATTTTCTTTAATTTTTTAGGTTTCTAGAATAAATTAGTGGAAGAGATTGTTAGTAGAAAGAGAGAGATTTCAAATGGCCTCATTGTATGAATCCTATCTTTAAATTAATATTACTAAATTTATGTTAAGGACCATCATGTTATAAAAATAAAAAATATAATTAGACCATTTATTCCTAGGTTGTATGAAGAAATACCTTTTATTTTTTTTCACAAAAAATACTTATTGTGTTATCTTTTATTTTTTTTTACAAGAAAAATATGATACTTGTTGATTATCTTTGTTTTTTTTTTGACAAAAGAAGAAGATGTTGTACTACATTTTTTTTTGCTTGTTGTATTACTTTTTTTTTTTTTACAAGAAAAATAAAAAAATGATGCTGCCAAAGTACATTTTATTTTTTTTGCAAGAAATACTTGTTATATTACACTTGTATTTTTTTTACAAGAAAAATAAAAAAATATTGTATTATCTTTTTTATCTTTATCTTAAAAAGTCTTTTATTTTATATTTTTTCTATTTTTTTACAACAGTATTTTCTGCCTTGTTTATTTTTTTGACAATAAATTGCATTTTTTTACAAGAAAAATAAAAAAATGTTGTATTATCTTTTTTATCTTTGTCTTGAAAAGCCTTTTATTTTATATTTTTTCTATTTTTTTACAACAGTATTTTCTGCCTTTGTTTATTTTTTTTTACAACAAAAATTTTTTTGTTGTGTGCTAAAGGGTTCGAACTCAAAAAAAAAAAAATTTGTTGTGCGTGCGCTAAGGGGTTCGAACTCAAAATGTTTTTTGGTGTTCGCTATGGGGTTCGAACTCAAGACATGCACAAAAAAATCAGTGTTGTCAACCAACACGGCTACGTCGCCACATGTGATTCTACTAGCTTCTATAATAATATATATTCAATCATCTTGCTTTAATGATTTTTTATGGAAATTATCCCACATCGAAGGATAAGCGTTGCTTGGTTCTCTATAAAGTCATGTGTAATAGACACTCCATTGCGCGTGTAGAAACGCGAGGGAGGCAAACGTGAGGTGAGTTACCACGTGTCACTCTCGTGAGGTGGCCACGTGTGCCACATGTCACTACTGTGAGGCTGCCACGTGTAAACCCAAAAAATACAGGTTTTTTTGTCGAATTGCCCGGTTCTTTCGTTGAATCGCCCAGTTCTCTCTGGACACGGGCGATTCCCGGTTTTTTCGTGGAACCGGCTCGGTAGCAAACGATTCCCGAGTCGAACCAGCTGAGTCCGGCTCGACTCGGCGAGTTTTCAAACACTGCATCAAACACACGCCCTATTCCTCCCCAACACTATCTTGTATAAAGCTTCACGGTCGATTAGATTTCTTTCAACGATATAACTAAGTTATTTCATGAACTCATTATTTCAATTGAAGTTCTGTATTGGACTTTGTAAACAATTCTGAACAAATGGTTCATATGTGGCAAAAGCATCAATATCATGATCAAGACTTGTCAATCCTGACATCCTATGCCAAACCCCAAGGATAATTCTCTAAAAGGCTAGATACTTCAACAACTATGTTAGAGATGTTCTTAGGAAATATTAAAAATTTTGAAGAAAAGGGGTCCTATTAACTCTTCCTAGGAAATCTATCACACTATAGAAAAGTATAAGAAATTATTTGTATGATTTTTCTGAATTTTAATACCTTTTTCAACATTTATGTTATGTTATGTAAGTTTTCCAGTTGTACATTCATTTATGAATTGTACAGATATGCAGACATGTCAACAACTTCTGAGGTGTTTCATCTTTCTTTTCCTTTGTAAATATGGTATTTTGTCATATACCAATCCGAATGTTGAAAAGAATCCCCATTGTGTCCATGCAATTGCCTAAAATTTCTTACTTTTGGATAATCCAAAAACCATAAAACAAAATGAAATGTGCTTTGATGGAAAGTAAAGGGGAAATTGTATCAATAGGCAAAAATGTTCCCAATTAAAACCCGGCAGATTATGTGAACTGAAATTCTTGCACATCCATAATAACTTCAAATAAATACAAAAATACTTCCAACTTATGGAGAAAAGAATAACATCATCTCAATCAGCACTGTTTACTTTCTATCGAAGGTAAAACAAGATGTATCCAACAAGTTGCAAAAGTAGGATTACCAACAATCCTGCTAGAAGTTAATTTACCTTAGAAGTATCCAAGCGTAACTCCCAAGCTTTAAAAATAGATTTCACACTTCCTGCAGTAGCCTCATTTAAAGCTGATACCTTCAAAAGCACCAAAAAGACCAAAAGGTTATTGTTATGTTTCGCGAAGAAACACCAAAATTACAACAGTTTAGAACTTCAGAAAAGTATAATTATGCTTTAAAAGAGAATCCTCTTCATAAGTTGTAAAGAGAATCTAAGATTTCTCAACTCCCAAGAATCAGGCATGAAAAGTAGAGTCGCTCCAGCAGACAACAGTCCAAAGATGATCTGTAACACCTTTAGCAACCCTTCCTGATTCCCTTTCCAAACTGTATTTAAAGTCTGGAGAAGATGCAATAACCCTCCACTTCGAAAGCATCCTATATGTATATTACCCAAACGGCTGTTTAGAACCATTTCTTTCCAAACAAGTCTGAACCAAAAACAGCATGGTTCACACCCCATATTGCCAATTCAAGTTTATATAAGGGCTCTATTAGACAATGCCACACACTACATACTCAGAAATATATCGATTGACTAGATCCCAAGTGTCTTCTTTCATTATGGGTGCGGGTGCAGTAGAGGCATATTATGGGTGCATGACAACCACATCGCAAGGCTCAGCTTAGATCCCTCGATGGGGCCGAAACCAGTAACCAAGTCTATCAGCCTGCTTAAAGCTTCTCGAACAAGGAAGAACATAAAGGGCAGGAAACCTCTTTCTTGCAGGAAATCTCTTTCTTTGAGCACTCTAGAACTTCTGAATTTCCTAGAGAGGCAAATCAAAATAGGGAAGAAAGCCGTGGTTACAAATACCACAATCACACCCCAGCATGTAGCCCAAAGCCCATTGAGAGCATCGAGTAATCCAGAAATTTCTTAGGCACATGGTCATAGGTTTCCTCAGTATCCATCTTAACAACGAGGTCTACTTTCTTTACACATGTACAAGTGCATTCAATGCTTTGTCCCAGATGTGCCTATTGAGTATAATGATTGCTTGGGATGGGAAATGAACAAAGAATGCATCACAGCCCATTAAGCTTATAGCTCAGCATTCCTCAATATTTTCTGCATTTATGGTACAATCTTCCTCTGTCAAAGAATTAATCATACATTTCACCAATTCCTCTTTGACAAGAGGTCAGAAATTCTAAAAGAGTTTCATGGAAAAGCCATCGAACTATGAGCTTTATCTTTCTCAGTTGTGCACAAACTCTAAGGGAGAAGCCCATAACCTCCTTAAAAATATCAGCCTCCACAACAACATTTATATGAACAACAAAAATGCTATGGATTTGATGCTGTTCCTTCAAGTATTGGCAATTTTATAGGAAAACCTAGTGCTCTGCCTATTATTTTTAGCTATTTGACCCTAGACATTAACAAGGTCTAATGTCCTCTAGCTTAACCAAGTCATGATATTCTCTTGTCAACTGTAATCTTCTCATTTTATCCCCTTCCATCATGTTTGAGCTTTCCTACCTTTGTCTAGAGAGGCATTATCATTCAATGAGGTGGCCTTCTTTCCCTTATTACCTAAGGAAGACCAGCTCCATTCTCTGATATCCCCCAAATTTCCGAGAGATATTTCATCACTATGAGACCATCCCAACCATTGTGCTGAGGTTCAACCAAATTCATATCTACTTATGAAAACAAGGAGTTTACACCATGCAATCAAAGCAAATCTATCATCATATATACATAAATTGATCAAGTCATCCGCCCAATAAAAAGTCTTTCTATTTTGCATGGTCCAACCATTGATCCCGGAAATTTCTACAAGAAATTAGTAGTTAGCTAGTATAGTTCCCTATTCACAATTCTGCCGTTGTATTGAAATATACAAGGAATCTACTGGACAGGTAAAAAGGCATAAAGAATCAGTAAGATTTTGAATGCTTTGTTTATGTATGAAGTCACCTTACAATTTGGTTGATGTCTAATGAAATGGAAACAGGTTCCCCACTAACCAGAGAAGAATCTGATGTAATGGCCCTCTGGGAAATTACATTGGCTAAAACCAGAAAATAGATTTTCTCTAGCCATCTATGAAACATAGACACATGCGTCCGGGGGTTAGACCATGTATTGACACCTGAAGGACACCAACACATGTGTCCACGCTCTTGGACACACATGCAACCCTCTATTAAGTGTCAACCGTGTCTCTTTTTTTGGACATGTTTCTTTTTTCAAAAGTAATGTTTCTTTACTTAGACACTCCATTCTTCATTGAAGAGAATTTTATTTTAAAAGTAAAAAGTATTTTAGAATAAAATAAGTAGTTTAGAATAAAAAATAAAAAATATCTTTACTTGCTAAATTAGGGTTTCCATAAACTTTCTAGGGTTTTCTCCATTCCCAACTTGTTTCTCGCTCTCCAAACCATAGACCCCACTCTTCTCTCTCTCCAAGCCCTGTTGACCAGTGGTTTCTCCCTCTCCAAGCTATAGACCGCTTGATATTTATCTCCCTTTCGTCAACTTTCCTCTGTTCCTTTCTCGTTTACCTTGTGCCATGTAAGTTCTTTATTTTTCCTTATTTTTTCTTTGCCATTAAAAGCATGGATTATATTGTACCTTCTCTTTTCCTAGCAATATCTTATGATTATTTTTGAGAGCTTGTACTTTTGTCATAGGAAGTATCGTACTTATACTTGATAGAAATTAATGCTTATAGTACTTTTTTCTTACAAAGTATAAAACTTGTCCTTGTCTCAACTTTTACATTAAATTTTATAACCCTATTCCTTGGGTTTTTTGTTTTTATAGACGATATTCTGGTATTTTGTAATATTGTAGAACTTATCCTCTTGTATTTCATATTCTTAAAATTCTATACTGCTTTTGTCTTATCCATTGCTTCTCCTTATCTCAATTTTTTATTTATTTTTTCTTGTTATATGCTTTTTATACATTAAATAAATACATAAGCCTCCCACTTAAAATTTTGTATAGAATGAATAAAATAAGGACACGTATTTCAATGTATAAGACAAACGTATAACAAGAAAAATTCATAACATCAAAATTTGAGATAAGGACAAGCAATTAAAAAATATTAAATATAAGCGGACAAGTTCTACAATATTACAAAATACTAAAAAAACATCTATACAAACAAAAAGCACAAGGAGTGCTATAAAATTTAATATTAAAAGTTGAGACAAGGACAAGTTTTATACTTTGTAAGAAAAAAGTACTACAAGCATTAATTTCTATCAAGTATAAGTACGATAGAGAAACCACTGGTCCATAGGGCATGATGAGGGAAGAAGAGAGTGGTCTACGATTTGAAGAGGAAGAAACAAGTTGGGAATGGAGAAACCCTAGAAAATTTATTTTTATTTATAATAACAATGAGTTATAGAAACCCTAATTAACAAGTAAAGATATTTTTATTTTTTATTCTAAACTACTTTTTTTTTTTACTTTTAAAATAAAATACTCTTCACCTTTCTCAAAAAAAAAAAATATCTTCAATGAAGAATGAGTGTCTAAATAAAGAAACATCACTTTTAAAAAAAGAAACATGTCCAAAAAAAGAGACACGGTAATGGACAATAGAGGTGTCGTATGCATGTCCAAGAGTGTTGACACGCGTGTCGGTGTCCATCAGGTGTCGACACATGGTTTAAACCCCAGATACGCGTGTCTATGTTTCATAAGTTCAGTCTAATTCTCCCCGGTTTCTCACAATGCATATCTTATAACATTAAATCCATCACCTTCAAAACAAGGTTATTACTATTGCTACTTAATGTGTCCAATTATACACAAAACTTCTTTCTTATGCAAAAATAATTGGAAAAATAAATGGCCATTGCTCATAAAAGCCCTGCCTAGAGTGTCAATCTAAGGAAACTAGAAACCTTTGTCAATGCCACATGTCTGTAACAGCAATCATTAGAAACACTGACCAAACACATTGCCTCAAAATATTTAATGACTATAAAATCCAAGGTTATTAAGTCCAGACTATGATAATTGTTACATGTTGTAGGTTTTTTGTATTTTTAGATATTTAAACTCTTTTTATGAAATTTTTTTTTTAATACATTTATTGGTAGTTTGATGCTTAAACCTGTCTATTGAAAATGTTCAAGTATGGAAATATTTTCAGAGTTACTATTTGTTTAAGTATACTCAGTTTTATTTATAGTGATATGATATTGACATGGTTACATGAATAATTGATTTTTTTCTTTTTTTTTTGGTCCAAGTATTCAAATTTAATTTTCAAATACTTTAATTGTTTTGGCATCTCGTTCTTAGATTTTTCGTCATTCTATTAATCTTCCTAATGCTAAAAAAATACTTCATATTTCATAGTTTCATGCTCCTTTATTATATTTAAAGAAATGTAAGGATGTTTTTCTCTATGTTTGTCATTTTTCTCTTTTTTCAGAAATGTTCTACTTTTAGACCTGTCTAACCAGCGAATCAGTATGGTTCGACCGGTCTAACTAGACGGTGCCCTCACCAGTTCACCAACTTGTCCAGTCTTAATGGTATGGATGAAATGTGCTTACTTTATCTCTATTTCTTGAATCATTGATATATCAACCTTATCTTCTTTATAATATCTGAGATTGACTCCATAGTTCAATTCCTCAAGACCTGCATATCCCAAAATGCTATAATGCTAGTAATTAATGGAATCTACCATCAAGTCCCCGTGTTTACCTGCTCCATTACATAGTTGAGGTTTGACAAAAATGTGAAAAGAGCTACTTGTTGAGGTTTGACAAAAATGTGAAAAGAGCTACTTGTTGAGGTTTGACAAAAATGTGAAAAGAGCTACTTGTATCAACTTATGCGTCACCTTCTTCAGCAATTGGAGACCACTGATCACTGCCAAGTTCAATTCGAACTCAATACTTTCCTATCCAAGTGAATTCACTTGTAGTTGAACATTAACTTCTGTTCAGAAAATGCGGCAAACCATTTAAAAGTAACAATGTATGTCCATCAAGTTTATATGAGAAACAATTACCTGATTTCGCTAGTATGTACTCTTTCAAGTGGGTAAATTTGCTATTTACAAGCATAAACAGAACACAAAATGAAATCCAGAAGGACCTTTATTTAATTAAGTCTTGGAGTTTGAATTCACAACCAATTTATTCATAATTGATTAATTAGTGATAAAAATAACAACAATGGCGATGATGGTGATGAACAAACTGGAGGTACCTTGCTCCAGCAACCAATATACCTCGAAACCCTTAAATTACAAAAATAATTTGGCACAGCGACGTTGGAACACAAATTCTCAACGACAATAAATTTCCAGAAAAAAAAAGAAACAAAATCCCTGCAACATGAATTAACTAAAAAAAAAACTAGAATCCAAACAACTATCATTCAAAATGCAGGTATAGTATATTGTTACGATCAAATGAGTTGAGGGAACACACATATATTGAAATTTCTTGTATATTTTCACATTATAAGAGAACCCCAAAACCCGAAGGCATTCCCCATGTAAAAGTTAAATCAAAGTAAAAACAAAGTAGAAATTAGAAGAAAAAGAGGAGGGCAAATGTTGTTTCGGTACCTTAGGAATGTCAATGTGCTTGTACAGGGACCACTGGGATCCGCAATCGTGATCCTCGCAGCTATGGTCGTGCAGGCATGCCATTCTTCTTCCTTTTGCAGTGAAATTTTCAAGCAATAGTAATAACAATGAAGATTAGAATGAGTGGGTAAATAAACAGGTTTATATCACAAACAGAGGGTGAATCAGAGAAGAGGAGTTTCTCAATTAATGTTCAACAAAGGAGTTTCTCAAATTTTGTAGAGAGAGAAGAAAAAGTGTTTGACCCTCACGGTCCGCTTAAATCTAAAAGATTTGACGGTCATTATCATATTTTTATATTTTAATTTTAATATTTTTTTATAAATTGTAAATATTTATTTTTATCATCAAAACACATTTAATAAAAATATTTAAAAAATAATTTACAAAAAAATAAATTGATCAAAATAGGTTCGAAACATTTCAGAGGTATTTTAATCATTTTATTTATGTCAAATTATTTTTTAAATATTTTTATTATATTATCCTATTTTTGAAGAATATAGTTATTTGAAATTTAAAAAATAAAAATAAAATTCAAATACGAAATGAAGTCTATATGTGGAAAAATGTGGGTTTAGCCCACTAACTCATATGAACATATGAGCTCAATGGCCCAGATTCAATCTGGGCCGATCTGACCAGCACGGATGTCCGGTAGTGCTTGAATTTTATTTTTTATTTTACAAAATCCAAATCATTCGAAAATTTAGACGTGTGTTCATTAAAAATATGTGAATCTTCAAAAAATATAAAAAAAATATTTACATGAAATAAATAAATAAATAAATTATATATATATATATATATATATATATATATATGGAAAAGATACGATTAGCCCACTAGCTCATATGAACATATGAGCCCAATGCCTCGCGAATCTTCCACCTCTCCTCAGCTACCATAACTTTCTGTCACTTCCTTGAGCCTCGAATAATCCACCTCAGCTACCTCGAATAATCCACAGCTACTTCCTTTGCCTATAAATTCTCACAAAACCCTCATTCGAAGAGCAGGTCGAACTCTTCCTCTCTGCGATCTCTTTTCAAAACCCTTATCTCTCCCTTATTTACTCCAAATTTGTTTAGAAACATGATTTTGAACATCCTTTTGCAAAATATCTTTAGCAGATTTACAGTCTGTTTGAATAAGAAAAGTAATATTTAGAATATCACTTTGAAACTTATTCACACAATGAACTATAGCTAAAATTTCTTTTTTTATAGGCGAATAATTTATATTTGCAAATCATAGGAAAACAAACCACTAGGATAGAAAATATTATCCAACAACCACAACAGAAAATAGAAGAAAAGAAAAAAGCAATCTTATTTAAACCTCATCCTCTAATAAATAAAAATAGATTTCAAATGAAAGAAGAATCTTCTTCTGAATTAATGCAACAGTTAATTACTAAATTAGCTACTCTAGATATTAAAAAAAAGGAGAAATCTAAAAGCAAAGAATCAGTCATAAAAATAGCCGAACCAGCAACTATGATGCTCCATGAAATTTCAGAAATTCCAAATACTATTACTTCGCTGTTTAAGAATTCTACCTAATCCTATTTCTGAAGCATCGCATTCAATAATTTTAAATGCAGTAGGATCGAATAAAACTAAACAGGGTAGTTTATTGGATTTGCTTTTCAGAAGTCGAATAGCATTAGTATGTTGATCCGTCCATTTAGACGGATTCTTTTTTAATAGATCAAATAATGGTTTGGCAATAGTAGCAAAGTCTTGAATAAAATCTACTATATAATTTAAATATCCTAAGAAACGTTGTAATTCTACTTTTGTTAAGATTACATCAGGAAATTTGCTAGAAAATTCAATAGCTCTATAAATAGGAATGATTGTTCCTTGGAAAATATTATGTCCTAAAAATAGAACTTTTGTTTGACAAAGAGCAAATTTCTTGGCAGAGACGACAAGTCCTGCAGTTTTTACTGTATTAAGAAATATATTTAAATGTTTAAAATGTTGATGTATATCAGTAGAAAAAATAATAACATCATCGATGTAGACTATCATAAATTTTAAATAAGGATTAAATACATCATTCATAATTTTTTGGAATTCAGATAGGGTATTTTTTAATCCAAATGGCCTAACGTTTCATTCATATTGTCCAAAAGGAACATTAAATGTCGTTTTATAGCGGTCTTATTCGTTTATTTGTATTTGCCAATAACCTGACTTTAAATCAAATTTTGAAAAGATACAAGCATTGAGAAGTCTATCTAATAAATCTTTTTTATTTGGAATTGTATATCTGATCCATTTCAAAACTTTGTTTAGTGGTTTATAGTCGATGACTAGTCTAGGAACACCTCGTTCCTTTTCTACATTATTTTCTACATAAAATGCGGCACAGCTCCATGGTGATGAGCTAGGCCTTATTAATCCTTTAGCTAGGAGATAATCTATTTCGTTTTTACATATTTCTACCATTTTCGTATTCATTTGAATTGGTCGAGCTTTAGTTGGTATTTTTTATTCAGAAAAGCCTTCTTCATAGGGTAGTGATACTATATGTTTATGTCGGTTCCAAAAAACAATAGGTATTTCGTTACAATTTTCTGTTTCTATTTGCCTTTTAATTTGACTTATTGTTTTTTGGATTCAGGTAATAACAGTTGTTCTTCAATTGTTTTATATTTTATTTCAGCTTGTAACTGATATAAAAATGTCTCTTTGTTTTGTATGTTTTGTTTTACATTATTTATTTCTTTTATTTTTGGTTTATCAATAAATTCAAATTTGACTTTTATTCCTTCTATTGTTGACTCTATTCTAGTATGATCTATATTAATCGGATATAGCATACTCAGAAATGGAGTTCCTAAAATTACAGCTTGATTTAGTCCTTTAACCATAATAAATGGTAATTCTAAGCAAATACCATTATTACACATAACAGTATTTGATAATTTATAATTTATTTTTAATTTACTTCCATCGACTGTATTTAATATTTGTGTAGTTTTCTAAAAGTATTTTGTGGGAACTAATCGTTCGTTTATACAATTTAAGTCAGCACCAGAATCTATTAGAGCTAATGTTTGGAAGGTATACTCGTTTTGGACTATGATTTTAACCAAAGTGTACCATTTTTGGTTTTGCATTTTGTTGATTAAATTTAATTGAAGTTATTGGTTAAAATTAGAAGATTCAGGTTTATCTTCCATATTATGTAGTAAAGTTGTAAATTCTATGTTTTCTTCATCTTCAGAATTATTATCTGTTAATTCGGTTAATTCTAATAATTTGATTCTGTTTTTTTAACTTAATCAATTCAGATTTTACTTCATTAATTTTGTGTTTTAACTCAGCAATAGTGGGTTCTTTTTTACTATTATTCTTTTGGCCAATTCTTTTCAAAATTTCTGAAAAACTATATTCTTCTGGTGGTTTAATTAATGGAGTTGGTTTATTCCTAGCTTTTGCTATTTGAATATATTGACTGATTATGGTTCTTTTATCTTCAGTACTAAGGATTTTGTCTATAATTTCTAGAATTAAATTGTCTTCTTTGGTAAGGGTATGACAAGAACATTTATTGTCATGGTCAGATAAAGAGGATGTTTCATTTAATAAATCTTCATCTTTTATTATTCCAATATCTGATTCGTTATCAGAACTGTCTGAGGACGAGGAAGAAGTTGTACTAAAATCATTATCTTTATCATAAAGCTGAATGATTTCATATAACTGATTTCTTATATTTTCATCTACTATTAAGGATTCTATCTTTTTCTTAACATTACAGTTATTTTTATAATGTCCTAATTTTCCACATTTATAACACCGATGTATTTTTCTTTTATATCTTTTTCCGTCTTTGCGTTTTTCTCATATTTTTCATCTTTATATTTAGGTTTTCTTTTATGATATAGTTTATTATATAATTTTTGTCTTTTTTCTACCTTTTTATGTTTATGAGGTTTATTATGGGAAAGATCTAAACTATATTCGAATTGTTCGCAAAAGTCGCCTAATTCCTTTTTGCCAGTCATTTTTTGTTTCTCAAGTTGTCGTTTTAATTTTAGGTCGGTGTAGAGAGATAACCCTTCTACACAAATTTCGGCTAACAATTCGCCTAGGGTAAAGAGAGGATAAGGAATAATCCTCCCATGTTTTGTTTTTAGACGATTATGGACTTTTTCAGCAAACAAATAGGGAAGGGCGGAGATGAATTTTTCTTTCCAATGATCGACACTACTATCTTCACGTATGAGGAGTCGGGAAAAGAAAACTTCTTTATACCATTTATAATGAGAAATAGTGGGACATCGAAGGTTATTTAGCAAGTCTTTAGATCGAGCTTCGAGTAAAGCCGTACTTCCAACAAAATGGAGTGTAATTCTGTAGATTAAAGCATTAACAGCATCACTTTCGGATTGTACGATATCTTGATTTACTTCCTTTTTAATATAGGATTGTTTGGTGGCAGTTACGATTTGTTGTTTGGATATATCATTGAGGTGGAAATCTCACCATCCTCTAACCCATCATGTGAAACCACAGATAATAGCCTGTGCTACATCTTGGTCATGGGCGCCCGAAACCTTGCATGCAGTAGCATACATGATCATATGTTTTATTGTGTCGAGAATTTGTAGTTCAGACATTCCGCCTATATTCCAATTGACTATAGTTCTTCCGGAATATGATACAGTATGAGATATCAGATCTTCTTCAAATTGTACATCGACCGGAGTAGGTCCATGATGGTACATTCTAGATGGGGCTGTAATTCGCATTTTCCTACCATAATCGATTCGATTAATCTTATCTTCTTGCTTAAAAGCATCTTTAATATTAGTAATAATATTTGGAATTTCTGAAATTTCATGGAGTAGCATAGCTGCTGGTTCGGCTATTTTTATGACTGATTCTTTGCTTTTAGATTTCTCCTTTTATTTAATATCTAGAGTAGCTAATTTAGTAATTAATTGTTGCATTAATTCAGAAGAAGATTCTTCTTTCATTTGAAATCTATCTTTATTTATTAGAGGAGGAGGTTTAAATAAGATTGCTTTTTTCTTTTCTTCTATTTTCTGTTGTGGTTGTTGGATAACTTAAAGTATCAATATGAAACCTATATTACAAGTCAACAGAAGCATATTCGCAGTATCCATCCTCTTGAAGAAAGTATAAAAATAATAGATAAAAAACAAGAATTAGAAACTCTAGCTACTCCGCATAAAACGCTTCCCGAAGAAAATTATC